GTTATTGTTGTTTTTGAGACGCAGTCTTGCTCTGTCACCCAGGCTGGAGTGCAGTGGCGCGATCTCAGCTCACTGCAACATCTGCCTCCCGGATTCAAGCGATTCTCCCCACTCAGCCTCCTGAGTAGCTGGGACTACAGGCAGCTACCACCATGCCTGGCTAATTTTTTTTTCATAGAGACGGAACTTCACCATGTTGGCCAGGTTGGTCTCAAACTCTTGGCCTCAAGTGATCTACCTGCCTCGGCCTCCCAAAGTGCTGCAATTATAGGTGTGAGCCACCGCGCCCGGGCTGAGCCACCGCACCCAGCCTGCACGTCCTTTTTGTCTTCATGCTACCAGCATTTCACGTCTTCTCAAGTCTTGCAGTTCACTTCCGTCTCCCCATCCACCTGGGAGCTCACGGTCATCCTTCCTGAATCCCTCCCTCGTGCCTTGTCCTTCCCTCTTTGCTTGGCCAGCTCCATTGTTGGGGAACATGTCACCTGCAATTTCCATGTTTGCTTTCTGACCTGGTGCTTGGGGCCCTGCCAGGTCAGATCACAAGGGCAGGGGTCCTGAGAGTTTTGCAACCTAGGGCTACCAGCGTCAACTACACCTTTCTTGTTAAATGCCAAAAATGTCCCCACGTTTTGTTGATTCATCATCGCTACTTTTCTGCAGTTATTCTCTTCCTGGCATCATCAATCTCTCCCCTCTGACCCATCAACACACTCAAGTCTCTCTTACTCGACCTCACCCTGTAACAAAGACTTTTCCTGCTCAATGAATATTCATATCTTCCCCCAAGTTTCCCAGCACCCTTGCAGTTAGGTGGAGCCATGTGACTATTCAGCTTTGGCTAATGGGCTTTGAGTGGAAATAAACAACGTCCAGTCTGGGTGGAAGCATTTAAAAGCCAGAACGTGACCTTCCAGCTATCTCTTCCCTTCTTCAATGAGCTGCCCAAGGTGGTGGCCTCCCCACACAGAAGTAATTTTGATCCTTGAGTCCTGATGTGGAAAAGAGGAACCCTGAAGAGCTGCCTGACTGTTGCAGGAATACTTGTTAAACAGAAACAGATCTTTGTCATGTATGCCTCTAACACAGAGGGCAATTGGTTACTGCAGCATACATAGCCTAGCATTACCCTAATACAGGCCCTACGAGAACAACAGTCAAAGCACCTTTCCTTGAGTCTGCTATTCCCCTGGGTTTCCACTCTATTTTCCTCCATCTCTCCATTGCTGGCTTCTTCAAGCATCAAGTCTCTAAGCAGGGCTGCTGTTTTCCCTTCCTGTCCACAAATTCATTCCTCAATCCCTGGCCCCTGACCTGCCGCTTTACCAAATTCTTTGCTGCAAGCTCCCAGTGATGCCACAACCCCAAATGCAACAGCACCTTCAGCGGCTCCAGCCCCTTTGCAAACAACTACTATGTGGTGGACTCTGATCTTCTTTGACCGCCTTCTCTGGTGCCTCCTCGGTGATCTGAGTTTCCCTCCTGTGCTCTTTTCAAGGCTGCCTCACCACTGACCCTTCTTCATTCTGCCTCCTAAATATAGCCCTTCCCAAGGTCTAGCCCTGTTCCTTTTTTGTTCTTTCTCTCTTGATCTCACCCAAGCCATGATTTCCACATCTGTGACCATAAGCATGACTCCCAAATCTATTTACGGTCACTGCTCTCAAAGAGCTGCAGGCTAACGGGAGCACCTTGAGCTCTTCCCAGCCTCCAGGACCACAGTTCTGACCACCTGGGCATTCTCACACTTAAAGTACCAGACCCAAATCAATTCGCCATCTCCTTCCTTTCAGGATTAAGCCTGTTACTCTGCCCTGTATATTACATGTCTGCTACTTCTCCTCCTCTTCCTCCTTCTTCCTTTTTTCTTTTTTTCTTTTTTTAGATAGAGTCTTGTTCTGTCACCCAAGCTGGAGTGCAGTGGCACAATCACAGCACTGCAGCCTCGACCTCCCAGCTCAAGCGATCCTCCCACCTCAGCCTCTGGAATAGCTGGAGCCACAGGGGTATACCACCACAGCCAGCTTTTTTTTTTTTTTTTTTTTCTTTTTTTTTTTTTTTCTGGAGACCAGCCATGTTTCCCTGGCTGGTCTCAAACTCATAGGCTCAGGTGATCCCCCTGCCTCAGCCTCCCAAAGTGTTGGGATTACAGGCATAAGCCACCACGCCCGGCCCAGTGTTCTTTTCCTATGCACACTCCAGGAAAACTGACTTGTTTCTTGTTCTCCAAACATGCCCAGGGCAGTCCTTGTTCTTTCTGTTACTGCTGCTGCCCGGAAAGCCTTCTTCCCACCCCAGCTCTCATTTCTGCCTTTCTGTTGAATCCCACCAATCTCTGGAACCGATTTTGTGCACCATGTTCCCTATAAAGACTTTCCTAACCCCCTCGACCTTTTGTGTTTGCTCCCTCTTTTGCAAACGGAGACTGTTTTATTCGTAACTTTTAGGAGTTAGAATAAAAACACTTGTCCTTTCTTGCCACTATCTTTCATGTATCAGACATTCTGCTCTCTGGCCTCCCAGCCAGGTGGTTCTTCTCGGAGTATTTATAGAAACTGTATTTGCGGTGGTTCCCTTTTAGGAAGTGGGTGCTTTTTTTTTTTTTTTTTTGGTATTTTTGCTTTCAGTCATGGGATGAAACCTCACTTCAAGTGGGGAATTACCAATGAAGCCGGTGGCTGGGCTCTCCTGGGCCCCACTTCTGTGAACATTCTTGGAGTTGGCAGCGTCTTTTCCCTGACATCCTGAGCTCTCTACACAGCTATGAACCAAACCTGGCTGCTTTGTATGTGCCTAGAGGCCTCCCAGTCAGGTGGCTCTTCTGGAACATTCCAGCTGGCCTCATCCCTGTGAACCCTTCTCCCTCTCACCACTCTAGACAGTCCAGGCAGGGGTCTAGAAGGGAATTCAGTCCATGCTGGGACTCTCCATGTGTTAAGGAGGCCCACAGCTTTCTGCCTGGGTAAGCAGAGCCCAGAGAGCCCGTTGGGTGAAAAATAGGTGGTACTGTACTTAATTCAAAGCCATAGTAAGTCTGTGCAGGCACTGAGGGAGGATGCTCAATCTGGAGGCTGAAATGCTGAGGGGAAAACTGGGCTAACTGGGCAGTGGATCCCAGGAAGAGACAGGAGGAGCACCTGCTGGAGCTGCCGCTGGAGCTGCGGCTGGCCCTGGGCCCTGATGGTTCCCTCCTCTGCTGATACAGAGGAAGGGAAGGCTTCACGGATAGTACCTCCTACCACTCAAACTCCTCAATGGGAAGTACTTTGTCATCCGAAGGCAGAGAGAGAGACGTGCAGCATGACACTATATCTCTTACCCTAATAGGCCAAATAGTGACCTAGAGAAATTTGAAATTCCTGGATCCAAAGGCTCACACCACAGGGGAGCAGGAAGTGGTGGGCTGGGAAGGGTAGTGGGTTGGGGGTGAGCAAGGAATGTGTACCCCTTCCCCTTAACCCCCACCTCTTGATGTAGTCACAATTGTCACCTACTCCTGGGCCAAACCAGTCACTGTTGGGTCAGCTGGCTGGTGACACCTGTTCTGATCCAATTTTTTTTATCTGATAGACTGGAGGCCTCCCAGAGAGGTGAAGGGGCATATTTGAGGTCACACAGCCAGTTTTGGGGAGACACTGAAACTCAAATCCCAGTCTCCTGGTGGCCTTGCCATGATTCCTTCCACTCAGCCTGTTACTTCTCTGTGTGAGGCAAGATGGGAAACGCTGGGAGACTTTGATAAAGGCTGACAAAAAATGGTTCCCCACAAGCCTGCAAATGCGTGGAAGAGAATCAAAGGGAAAATAAATAGCGCCTATAAATATTTATGTCGAAACCTGGCTCTATGACCCGCAGAACCAGTAGAGGCTCCGAGAAAAGTTCGATCCAGGGTTGGAAAAACAAGTTAATTTTTATCAAAACACTCAGCAGAGTTGAAAAACAGTGTGTTCCAAAACAAATACGTTCTGTTGACTGAGTGACCATAGTTTTTATTCATTCCATCGTGTATGGCCTCACTGGTAAAGCTTCTTTTTTGTTATTACAAAGCTAGTATTATTGTTAAAAATACACTATTTCTAACATTGCGAAATTTTTTTTTTAAGACACCCAAAGACAAAATATTCTTTTTTTTTTTTTTTTTTTTTTTTGACCAAGGACTCCTTGAGGTTTGAAGAGTCAGAAAATTGTTTTCCATGTGGCTCTAGAAAGGCCACTATTCCCTGATGGAGGCTTCCCCTTATCTGGAGTTGGGGATTATCCCAGGGTCCAGCTGGGATAATGGTTTGGAGGCAGGCCCATTCCCCAGGTCCCTTGGAAGGAGGGGAGCTGTTCCTAGTGAGCACAGCCAGCTCCCAGTCCCTCACAGCAAGCTCTGAGGCAGTCAAAGGACAGTGGGAAGTCCAAGCCTTCTGGACTTTGCAGTGGGGTGAACTGAGAAATGCTAACGTCCTTTGGGTTCTAACTCCAAAAAGGAGACTTCAGCTACCCTTCGAAATTCTAGAAGTCTTTAGTCTCCTTCTGAAGTCTAAAGTGTAGGCACATGCAGTGAACGTAGCTCTTGCAGGAGGCTGACGAAACCTACAGCTGTCCATTCCTTCAGCCACCCGGGTGCCATACAGGAAGGAGGCACAGGCAGTCAGGCCACCAAACGACTCAGTTTTACGCTGCTCGATTATGTTTAGAGCTGCAAGGACCCTCCCACTTGGCCTCACCCACTGGCGTTTGATGGCAGTGCTCTTGCACTCTAGCTTTGGGGGATCAAACCCTAGGGATGTTCAACGTGTAGTGGCCTGAATGCCTTCCCTGAACCAGGTGGAAGGCCTTTCTCCATCTCCCTTGGCCCAGCTTCTGTCCCGCCTCCAACCCCACTCTTAACAGCCCCTCCCTGCCAGTGCCCTCTGCCACCTGCTCCTTCCATCTCTTGCAGGTGGCTCCTCCTCCCCTCTCCTTTCACCCAACCTGGGGCTGGGCTTGGACCTGCTCCTGCCTTTCTGATCCTTACCAGCCTCACCATGTCTACACCCCTCTCCACATCCCCCTTCCTGATATCCTTGCTCTCCGTGATTAACCATGCCTGAAAGCTTACCCCTTGCCACTAGACTGCTTCAACCTTTCTCCTTCTTTCAAACTCTTTTTTGACTCTCCTGTCATCAGTATCTCTCTTCACGTGTTGTGTCAATTTGCTTTTCTTCCCCATGAGATGAGCTGGGAAAATAGCAATGACACCCAGCTGTGGCTGGGTGAGCCTTTCCTCCGCTCAGCTGGACTCCCTGTGTGTGAACAAATGCAGGGCACAACAGAAGGGCGGCCGTGGTTTTCAAATGTCCCCACCCAGGAGTGGATCCCAAAGTCATTTTAGTGGATTGCAACCAACAGTGAAAAATAAATAGAACAGAACATACTGCAGGGCATCCCCCATGGGAAGGGTGAGTATTATTTTGTGACATTTTTGTCTTTGTTGTTTCCATGTGTATGCATTGCAAGTCTCGGTGTGAAATATATTTCTTTTTTTTTGAGACGGAGTTTCGCTCTTGTTGCCCAGGCTGGAGTGCAATGTGCGATCTCGGTTCACCTCAACCTCCGCCTCCTGGGTTCAGGCAGTTCTCCTGCCTCAGCCTCCTGAGTAGCTGGGATTACAGGCACGCGCCACCATGCCCAGCTAATTTTTAGTATTTTTAGTAGAGACGGGGTTTCACCATGTTGACCAGGATGGTCTCGATCTCTTGACCTCATGATCCACCCGCCTCGGCCTCCCAAAGTGCTGGGATTACAGGCTTGAGCCACCGCACCCGGCGAAATATATTTCTAACTGTGGGTTGCAACCAAAAAAGTTTGCAAAGTCCCTGGTCTGAAGAACCAGTGAAGACATCAAAGACCCGTTATTGAAAGTGATGGGACTGAGAAGTAGTTCAAGAAATTTGCTTGGGCTGGGCGTGGTGGCTTGCACTTTGGGAGGCCAAGGCAGGTGGATCATCTGAGGTTAGGTGTTTGAGACCAGCCTGGCCAATATAGTGAAACCCCATCTCTACTAAAAATACAAAAATTAGCCGGGCATGGTGGTGGACACCTGTAATCCCAGCTACTCAGGGAGGCTGAGGCAGGAGAAACACTTGATCCTGGGAGATAGAGGTTGCAGTAAGCCGGGATTGTACCATTGCATTCTAGCCTGGGCAACAAGAGAAAAAAACTCAGTCTCAAAAAAAAAAAAAAAAGAAAGAAAGAAAGAAAGAAAGAAAAGAAAAGAAATTTGCCTCGCCGGGCGCAGTGGCTCAAGCCTGTAATCCCCCAGCACTCTGGGAAGCCAAGGTGGGTGGATCACAAGGTCAAGAGATCGAGACCATCCCGGTCAACATGGTGAAACCCTGTCTCTACTAAAAATACAAAACATTAGCTGGGCATGGTGGCGCGTGCCTGTAATCCCAGCTACTCAGGAGGCTGAGGCAGGAGAATTGCCTGAATCCAGGAGGCGGAGGTTACGGTGAGCCGAGATCGCGCCATTGCACTCCAGCCTGGGTAACAAGAGCGAAACTCCGTCTCAAAAAAAAAAAAAAAGAAAGAAAGAAATTTGCCTCATCTGTGGAGGCTCAGAGAGAGCCTTGTATTCCTCCTTAGAGCACCTGTAGGTCCTATAGGTGAGGCTCCCATTCTCCTGTTGGAGGAAGGAGACATGGTTTAGGAACTTTCACCCAGGAAGGTCTGCAGAAACTGTCAAGATTCACACCCAGCATTGGGACTCTTGTTTGCATACAAATCAAAGACTGAACTCTTAATTAATGGTCATCAAGATCAAAAGAAACCCTTTAAAAGGAATAGGATCCTTTAGAGAGTTTTCCTTGCAGCTCCATCTGCTGTTTCTCCAGCCCATAAAAACAAAACCCAGAGAATTTGTCCGGTGGAAGCAGAGTCCAGCCAGATTTGGAAATCTACCATCTTTTTTGGTGAGATCATCAGATGCTACCACTTAAAGTGCAACAGAACATGAGTCTCATCCCTGTGGACTGCAGCCAGTCGAGTTCCAACTCATCCCACGCACCCCCAGTCGCCGACAGGGATGGCCAAGCCTGGAGTTACTGGCAGTAAAAGGTGAGCACGTTTTCCTGGTTTCCTCGGATCAGGATGACTGGAGGTCTGAGGTCCTGCGACAGGGTGTCCAGCCAGGCCATGTACAGCGAGCTCGGGCACTTCCCCTTCCTCCCTATGGGCAGAGTGCTGCAAGGCAGGAAAAAGTGGCACAAGAGAGATTACCGTGGGGCCTCTCCACACGCCCAGCTCCCAGCTTGTTTTCAGAACAGCGAGTCTGTTTACTGTCCTTCAGAGCTCCTTCCACCCACCCTAGGAATGACCTCCCTGCTTTCCGCACAAACATGACCTGGAATGGACCTTCCTCCACAAAGCGTTCCAAACGAAGCTGTGGCCCACAGGCCCCGTGGGATGCAGTCCTTGCCAAGTCCATGAACTCACCCTCGCCTTGCTCACCCCCGATGCCCTGTAGCTTTCTTTCCATTCCCAAAAAAATGCCATGCTCACTTCTGCCTCCAAACTTTGCACTTGACAATCTTCCCACCAGGAAGGGAGCAGCCCAGCCCTGGACCTGGTGGCTTCCTTTAAGTCAGGCAAGTGCACCCACCTCCTTTCCCGGTCACTCCTCCTGGGCAGACTGCCCATGCCTCTTGCTCACACCACCCACTTTACTGCCTTCAGAGCTCTTACGGTCCCAACACATCTTAACATGATTTATGTGTTTGTCTCCCCACATCAGAATGCTCACTCACAAGCAGGCCACGTCTGTCTTGTTCACCCCTCTTACCCAGTGCCTAGAACACAGTCTGACACAGTCAGGCTCAGTCTATATTTGTTAAGTCTATATTTGACTGCTCCCCATCAGGCCACCCGTTTCATGCCAGGCTTGCCTCTCCAGCCCTGTGCCCGCCTGTGGCCACAGCAGTGTGCTATGTTTCTGTTCATTCATTACCCAGCTCAGCATCCTTGTCCTGCCTCCCATCCTGTGCAAGAGTCCCTGTGCAGGACTCCACCGCTGCCTGTGGGGAGGCCCCTTGTCTTAACCGTGCAATGCTGCACGAATAACGAGATGCCCTGGGAATGCTGTTCAGTCCTGTCTTTCAACTATTTGAGGAAGTGACTTTTCTACTATCTGTAGAATTCCAAAAATGCACTGGGATGGCTGCAGCTGCCCAGCTCTGGGCTCCAGGAGGGGCAGCGTCTTACAGATCCAGCTGGTCCCAAGTGAAGTTGGGGCACCAGCACCTTAAGTGGGACTCACTTGCATGTCCGTTTCCCCCAAGAGCATCCCCCAGGGGAATGCACAGGGCCCGCAGCACCGCGCTCCTTCACAATTGAGTGAACTGGGGCGGGAGGAGGATGCTGGAGGACTGGGGTCAGAGCCAGGCTCTGGCGTCTGAGTCATGGATTTGCCACTTCCTCAGCCATGTGACCTTTGCAGAATTTCTCTTCCCTAACCCTCCCTCACAGGATGTTTGTGATGCTAAAGCCGGCAAAGCACACGCAGGCACAGCATAATGCCCGGCACGTAGTGAGCGCTCTGTAAGGTCAGCAGCTGTCATCATCACTTAATACTGACCAGCACGAGACGGCCAAGCCAGCGGCGGCAGCGCTTGAACTCGAACCAAGGTCTTGGCATCTTCCCGCCGCAGCGGCCTCTGCTCACAGCAACTCCGCTCTCCTCTGAGAAGGGTAACTGGGGGCCTAAACAGCTATGTCATACTTGAAGTTGCATCCACAAAGCTTCAGTTGGGACAAGCCCTACCCTCCTTTAAAAAGCAAGGTCCCGGGCCAGGCGCAGTGGCTCACACCTATAACCCCAGCACTTTGGGAGACCGAGGTGGGCGGATCACTTGAGCCCAGGAGTTCAAGACCAGCCTGGGCAACATGGTGAGACCCTGTCTCTACAAAAAATACAAAAATTATCTGGGTGTGATGGCACACGCCTGTCCCAGCTACTCAGGAGGCTGAGGTGGGAGGATCGCTTGAGCCGGGGAGGTTGAGGCTGCAGTGAGCCGTGATTTCGCCACTGCACTCCAGCCTGGGCAACAGAGTGAGACTTTGTCTCAAAACAAACAAAAACTAAGGTCTCAAAAATTAGGGAAGGTGGGTAGGACCAAGGGCATTTCATTAAGCTATAGTCATTTGAGTTCAAATATTTCGTGACTTTCCAGGGGAAAGGGACATAGGAGAACTGAAACCAAACTCTCCTGACTAGTTACGCGAGAGGCAGACAATACCATCCAGGAAACAGACGTGATTTCAGGGGCGGAATTCAGAAACTTCAAAGGCCACAGGAGAATTGGTGCCTGCATCATAGGGACGGGGAACACCCATCACCCCAGCAGAGCTTGTCCACCTGTCCAAGAGACAGCTCTCTTTAAAATCACCCCCGCCCCCACACCAATCAATGACAAGCTCTATTCCTGCTCACAGGATGTACACGCCTTGAGCTACTAATCTTCAGAAACAAAGCTGTTCCAGAACAAAAGAACATTTGTTTTCAGAATTGCATCTCTTAGCCACAAAGAAAGGCGGCCTTAGATCTAACCTAGATGTGAAACGACAGCCCTGCATCAGAACCACTGTCACGGGCTCCAGCAGTTCCCACTTCCTGCCTGCAAGATCCTGGCCAAGTTGCTTCACTTCTCTGAAGCTGTTTCCTCATCTCTAAAGTGGGGGCTCACAGAGTTGTGAGCCAGGCACAGTAGCTCATGCCTGTAATCCCAGCACTTTGGGAGGCCAAGGTAGGTGGATTGCTTGAGCTCAGGAGTTCAGCCCAGCCTGGGCCAATACAATGAAACACTGTCTCCATAAAAAATTCACAAAACGGGGCCGGGCGCGGTGGCTCAAGCCTGTAATCCCAGCACTTTGGGAGGCCGAGGCGGGTGGATCACAAGGTCAAGAGATCGAGACCATCCTGGTCAACATGGTGAAACCCCGTCTCTACTAAAAATACAAAAAACTTAGCTGGACATGGTGGCACGTGCCTGTAATCCCAGCTACTCAGGAGGCTGAGGCAGGAGAATTGCCTGAACCCAGGAGGCGGAGGTTGCGGTGAGCCGAGATCGTGCCATTGCACTCCAGCCTGGGTAACAAGAGCGAAACTCCGTCTCAAAAAAAAAAAAAAAAAAAAAAAAAATTCACAAAACTAGCCAGGCCTGGTGGCACATGCATGTAGTCCCAGCTACTCAGGAGGCTGAGGTAAGAGGACTGCTCGAGTCCCAGGAGGTGGCGTTGCAGTGAGCTGAGATTGCACCACTGCTCTCCAGCCTGGGTGACAGAGTAAGACCCCGCCTCAATAAACAAAGAAAATTATAGGACCAAGAGGTCTGAGTCACAGGTTACAAAGAGAAAACAAAAAAACGAAGACTTTGCAGTGAGCTGAGATCAGGCCACTGCACCCCACCCTGGGTGACAGAGGGAAATGCTGTCTTAAAATTAGGGTTTTGAAAATTCATAAGGCCTGATACTTTGAGTATCATAGAGGCTCAAGCCATAAAATGCAATGTTGATTATTGCTGTTCGACTTTGAGGAGAAAGTGTTGGTAGAAAAAAAAGACATGTCTGGACCCAACAGGAATATGTTGCTAGGCTAGGCAAAGGTTGCTGGGCTATGTATGAGGCTGGTTTATCAGCTGTGCTGCGGTAGCTGCACTCAGACCTGGGACCACTGATAACCCGCTGATGAGTGAACAGCAATCACCAAGTGCTGCCTCAACTGGCTGTAGAAAATGCTCCAAGCACATTCTCCCAAATGCCAGACAATGGGATTTAATCATTTCACAGTGGCCTGGGAGATTTTCTTTTCCCTTCCTCGGAATTTCTAGGCTCCACCCCAGAGCCTGGTCTGTCAGGCATTTCGGACCTTGTGTTTCTGTAGTCCCCCGGTGGTTCTGATGAAGCTGATCCTCTGGCTGAACTTGTAGAAACACTAGGCATGGCTCCAGGTTGGAGATTAGTGCTGGACAGATGCCGCTGCTCTGTCCTCCTAGTGGATTCGGCCCAATAGCTGGGACCTCTTTGGACAACAGCTGTAGCTACTGGCATGGGGTGGAATGCCCTGGGTAGGGGTCTTCTCTGAGGTCATCGGATTTATAGTTACATGTATTGGTGAATCCCACAAAGGCTGGTGGGTGGGGGATTGATTTTCCCTATGAGGTTGGGGGATGGTGATGGGGATGGGGGTTGGGAAGGGAGAGATTCCAACAGGTGGTCACCTCCCCAGATGAAATTTTTCATCTTAATGGCTTAAGAGACTGATTTTTTTTAAATATACAGATAGGGTCTCACTATGTTGCCCAGGCTGGTCTCCAACTCCTGGGCTCAAGCAATCTTTTGGCCTCAGCCTCCCAAAGTGTTGAGATTACAGGCATGAGCCACTAAGCCCAGCTGAGACTGATTCATTTTAATGACAAATAAGCAAAATCACAGCATATTAGCATGAAAGAGAATCTTGGAAATACTTTGGTTTAGCTCTTTATAATTAGTGAAACTGAGGCTAGAGAGACACAGGGTCTTACCCAAGGCCACACAGTGGGCTAATAGCATAGAGAAAATGCACACACGCTTCTCTGAACAGAGGCAGCACTTGTTACCGTACCCAAGGAGGAGTCTGGGGAGGCGTCCCAGGTCGAAGCCATTTCCACGGTCTCTCACTCGGACCCAGCCCTCACCCTGGACCAACCTTGCCCTAGGAACATTCCCTGCTAGGTGTTGGCGAGAGGTTTGGAGATAAACCCAGCCCCTTTCCTTAACACTGTTCTCCAAGGAAACACTGAGCACTTTCTTTGTACAAAAAAATTATGTCCCTAAAGCCCCAGGAAGCATTATTCTGGGCAAGCCAGCTTCCTGGATATGCAACCAGTGCAGTCACATGGGGCCTTCTGCTTAGTAGGGTCTCTTGCTTTGTCTAATGCTCTGCTGCCACCATCTTGACATTCTTTTTTTTTTTTCTCTCTAATGCCTTGTTTAAGTCACACAAGAAAGTGTTGCAAGTGACAGTTCAACCCAATTGACTACACTATAAATTGTATCACTGTCTGCGGCCAGGCACAGTGGCTCACACCTATAATCTCAGCACTTTGGGAAGCCAAGGCGGGTGGATCACCTGAAGTCAGCAGTTTGAGACCAGCCTGGCCAACATGGTGAAAGCCCAACTCTACTAAAAGTACAAAAAATTAGCCAGACAAGGTGGCACTACTTGGGAAGCTGAGGCAGGAGGATCACTTGAACCCAGGAGGTAGAAGTTGCAGTGCACAGAGATTGCCCCACTGCACTCCAGCCTAGGCGACAGTAAGACTGTCTCAAAAAAAAAAAAATAAAGTTGTATCACTATCTGAGAAATAAATACAATCATTCCTCCTCATCATCCTCGTCCTCGTCCTCCTCCTCCTCCTTCTCCTCCTCCTCCTCCTCCACCTCCTCCTCTTCTTCTCCTTCCTCCTTCTTCCTCTTATTCTTTTTTTAAAAAGCATACACTAGCACTAGGGGCATTGGGGCATGAGGAATGCTGAGTCCCGGGGGCAGACTGACAATGGTCTGTTTCTGGTCTGTTGTTAGACTCATCTGCTGAGAAGGGGTTGCACACTGCATAGGCTGTTAGAAATCATGAAGATTTCTACATGTTCTACCATCTACTGGCACAGAGAAAGTGACTGGGAAGAACAGAAACTTTGTAAGTCAGAACCATTTGCTACCATCTGAATAGTCATGTCCCCAGAAATTCACACGTTGAAATCTATATCCCCAGGGTGGCGGTTTTAGGAGGTGGGGCCTTTAGGAGATGATCAGGTCATGAGGATGGAGCCCTATGACCTATGAATGGGATTGGTGCTCTTATAAAAGAGGTTCCTTCCGCCAAGTGAGGACACAGCAAGAAGGCCCATCTGTGAGTCAGGAAAGGAGCCTGCCCCCAACTCTGAATTTACCATGCTTTGATCTAGGGACTTCCCGGCCTCTAGGACCATGAGAAATAAATTTCCGTTGCTGACAAGCCCAGTCTATGGTATTTTGCTATAGCAGCCAGAATGTTCTAAGACATGATTCCTGAACACTGCTTGAGTGTATGGAATTACTGTTTTAGTATTATCCAAGCGTATTTCTAGCTCGGTCACTGAGGCTGCAGTGCAGTGGCATGATCTTAGCTCACTGCAACCTCTGCCTCCCTGGTTCAAGCAGTTCTCCTGTCTCAGCCTCCCAAGTAGCTGAGATTACAGGTGTGCACCACCACGCCTGGCTAATTTTTTTGTACTTTTAGAAGAGACAGCGTTTTACCATGTTGGCCAGGCCAGTCTCAAACTCCTGACTTCAAGTGATCCACCCACCTGGGTCTCCCAAACTGCTGGGGTTACAGGTACCAGCCATGGCTCCCAGCCCATGGTTATGTTTCTAATCGCCTGAACCACTCTCCTGGTGACCAAATTCCACTAACTGGTAGAAGTAAACATTTAACCTCTACCCTGCCAATGAAGAGTAACTGGTATTGGTGCCTTTTGAAGCCTCCTGGCCATCTTTTTTTCACATGAGAGTTTTTAGTTTATTAATCTTCTTGTAAAATATCCACAATGGCCACAGATAACATCATCGCCGCCCCTTTACTCCAGCACCAACAGTGGCCGTCATGGTCCTCTAACTTCCTTCACTCTGTTCCTGCGTTCCTTTCGTTGCTTTCTTGAGGTCTTTTTCTTCTCATACAGGCCACGTCTTGCAAGTCTATGTTTGGATTCATTTTCCTTTGCATGATCCAAGGAATCGTCAATCATGCCAAACTAGTTGTCTTGCCACCACCAAACTTAGTTCTAAATCCAAATGCAAAGATGATCT